CTTCCGTAGTAACACCCTCTATTTGCATTTAACTGACTCTAAGGTAACTGAAAACAGGCAAGTTTATTGTTGTCAGAACTCATACGGTAGTCATCTGTAATTGGACCCATAACAAATGACAAATTAAAGAAAAAAATTTGACTCCTTCATCCAAATACAGACTCTATAAAAGCACAAATCTTTAGCAGTTTGCAGGTCTGGAGCATTCAGGACAAAAACACCAAAGAGGAAAGACATCGGCAATGATCTTAGAGATGCAACTGTTGATGCACATCGATCTAGGAAGGGTTATTCATTTCCAAACAATTTTAAGTATTCTACAAAAAACAAGATTATTCACAAAAAAAGCAGTGGATATCCTGGCAAATTCAGTTAAGGGTTAGAGAAAATACAAAAAACCCAAGAGCTACAGGCCTTAGCATACCAAATGTTAAAGTTCATATGGGTATAATTAGAAAATGGACAAACAAGTATGGCTTGTTTGAAATGGTTACCAGCAGAAAGCTTTTGTCTTACGTTTACAACAAACCAGAAGACTTCAGAGACAATGTGAGACAAGATCAAAGTAGAGAGGTTTGCAACCCAACACTTTAAAACTTTTAAAAGTAAATTCAGAAAAAAATGTCACATTTTGAAGAGTCGTTTTAAGATGCGGAAAATGCTTGGAAAGACAAAAAGAACACAATGTTTTCATTTCAATATTTTAACTCCTGGACAAAAGATGCTTCCAACTTAACTGACAAGCCCAGTCTTAAATTGATATATAATGAGGGGATTTTAATATTTGAAGGCTTTCTGATGTAAAACTCTGTACATATATTATTCTACACCACATCTCAAGGGTTGGTGTCCTTGATCTAACACAGCTGATTTAAATGGCTAAATGACCTCCTCAACATGTCTTGAAGTTCTTCAGAGGCCTGGTAATGAACTAATCATTTGATTCAGGTGTGTTGACCCAGGACACCGACCCTTGAGGCCTGGAATTAGCACCTGTTCTACACGAACTCAATGATTGAAGTTAAAGAGGGTCCATTGTGATTTCTATTTTGTCATGTACTCTTCCAATGGTTGATCCTCATATTAAAGTTCGTGTGCATAGGATACACATCAACTTCAAAATCCTCAGCTTAAGACATTTTTTTCTCCTTGTAGCTTCTTTGTGAGCAGAGAAAAACCAACCCACCTGACCTCCGTCTTTTATGATGCAGTCAGTCAGAAGAAAGATGTCTAAAGGCCCAAGTCTGGATTCAGGTGATGGATGAACTGAGGGGCTACTCCAAAGTTCATTGTTACATAAATAAGGATTATTTTTAGACTGAATCATGCAAAGGTTTTTTGTTGGTTGGTTTTTTTTTTTTGTTGTTTTTTTTTAAAGAGTCCAGGAATAAAAATATAGAAAAGTGTGTATCAAGTTCTCTTGTAATCTGAAAAGAACCATACATATTTTCTACTTTATCAATTTGTGAACTAAAGATGCATAATGGGGAAGACTATAAAATTAAAAATGATAAACATTATTAGGCTCTGGAGAAATGAAAACAGAAGACAAGTATTTATTCCAAGAAAAGTCACAAAAAGACATCTTATCAAAAAGTGTTTAATTGAACTTAACTGACAGCTTTCTAAGGAAGTCTTCATTGGGGACAAGAACAAATGGACAACATAGAAACAACAGAAGAAGAGCAAATTCTGCTGATCATAGCGACTATACAGTGAAATCTTTGAGCCTAATTTACAGCAGTGCTCTGAAAGAAGGGGCAGAGAGAAAAATGAGGTGGTTAAAGACCAAATGATGTTTTGCCTGATCAGATGGAAAAGATGGGTTAGGAGAATGACCATTCCTCCTTCACCTCCTCCTTTGCTCCATTTATTCTGAAGTGATGGTGAGGGTGAACGACAGCAGGGTGGAAGAGAATGGAGACTGATGGAGAGGAGAGTGACAGGTCCATCTGTCACTCAGCCACTTTCTGGTTTTCTTGGTCTCTCGTTCATTTTCTCCCTTTCTGGTCAGCATGGAGACAAATGAAGGGATGAAAGATGGGAAGTGGTCATCGCTACTCCATGGCTTCCTGATTCTCTTGGTCTGCGCTGATCTCCTCGCTGGCCTCTTTGCCCTCCTTGCTCCTCTTGCTCTTCTTGTGTTTGTGCCGTCGGTGGCTGTCCCCCTCCTCGCTGTCGTGCCTCCTCCTGCTACTGCTGCTAATGAAAGGTGAAGAGGACAGGAGAGAAAAAAATGATCGGAAGAGAAGTAAAGGGCAGGTGTAAGGAGATGGGAAGGAAGAGGAGGTAAAAAAGAGACATGGACAAAAAAAAGGTCGAGATCAATACAGATGAAAGGTGAGAAGAAGAGAAACAGAGACGAGAGGGCAAAGACAAAGGAGAATGAAGAGAGGAACCGTGGGTTAGACAGGGCAGAGAGGTGGAAAGAAAATAAAGTATTAAAAACCTTCCTATTTTCAGGGTTTGTCAGTTGAGCAATTTTGTTCCTCTGATATTTTGATCCTCATATCACACATTTGACATTTTTAATGACGACAGCAAATTGTCTGAAAATTCTTGGGGGGTTGTTGTTAATGAGATGTCTACGACTGCTGTTGTTAGCTCTGTGACTTCACAGTTTACAGCTGACTTTTTAATTGTTTAAAAACACTGAATCTCTCAACGTTTTAGAAGGACAGTTCTCGATAAAACTAACACTTAGTGAACTGCTGCTTCTTTTAGTTTAAACTCTACTTTCATATGTAACAACTGAAAATTCGTAAAAACTAAAATATTTCTGTTTAACTCACATGTTTACATTTCATTTCACAACATAAGCTTAGCTCTAGAACACCAACGCTACGTGATTAAAAGTCCAATCAACTTGGAACCCTGTGTGTGTTGTCTGTGCGTTGTCTACACAATAACACCCAATATTTTAGGGCTTCTGGTTTAGTCGGTGTGTATCAGGACTAATACTTCCTGTTTCTCCCAGTGATCAGTGTTTAAGGATACAGATATGATTCATTAGTTCTAAAAAAATAAAAAATAAAAAATAAAAAAATTGCAATAGAGTTTATTTAATGCAATCCCTTTTTTGCCTGCTCATATATGATTGGCCTGAACAGGAAACCACAGAACCTCCAGAATCAAAATTTGTTGTCTGCAGAAATGCATGAATATTTACATAAAGTATCCATTTATAGTATTCCCAGGAGTTAAAATAAGCCCAATAAATAAAACAGAGAGCAACTTTCATCAGCGTTATCTATGTGACAGGCTTTCACTTTTAAAAGACCAGAAAACTAACCAATAAATAAAATGTTCCAGTTTAGCAAATAAACTAGTTACACAACAGGGGTGAAAGAAAAACTGTGTGCTCATTTACCTGCGTGAGGATTTGTGGCGTCCCTCTTCTTTCTCTCTGTGCCGCCTCTCTCTGTGTCTTTCCTCTTTCTCCCGGCTTGCACGGTCACGGTGGCGTTCTGCGTAACCACGCTCTTGATAATCACGGTACCGATACCGCTCCTCGTCGCTGTAGAAGACGAAAAGGAAAGAAGAATTTACTTCATTTACATATAAAACAACTCAGTCTCTGGTTAAAGCAGCGTCTTAACATCAATTGTTCACTTTTCTTTTATTACTCTTAATTTCTCTCCTAGATGTTGTTTATTAGTAAAAGCTTCTCTGTCTGTGCTCTCAGTAACATTTGTGATGAGTTTGACAACCGCGTGACGACTATATGTATGATCACTGATACACCAATACCCGCGAACAGCTGAAAACAAACTGCTCAAATTATTTGTTTATCCCTTTCTGTGGCTTTACAGATGCCATTCAAATCCCCCAGCAGCCCATTCACTACTCTGTTTTTGTCCCACTGGTGTACCTGGTGTAGCTCATAGCTGAAGGGCTGTGCTCCCTCTCTCGTTCCCGCTCATGTGTCCTCTCTCTGGGTCTTTCTCTGTCCTTGTCTCTTTTGTCATCTCGGCGGGAATAATAATCCCAAGGTTTGGAGTTATCTATCATCGGAGGCCAAGGAGGAGGCACACCTCCGACCATGGGGGGAGGGTAAGCACCTGAAAACAAAT